TTTTTTTTGCCGAATATTTTGTTTACGTGCTGTTTGGATTTTCCTATATGACAAAAAAAAAGGGTTTTAAACAGCCATAGGAATAACCATTCTCTTGACATTTTTTTTTTTTTGCAAGCATATTGCCAAAAGCTTTCATATATCTGATTAAAATATTTATTAATTTTTATTTATTTTAAACATTAAATTCTAAAGTATAAAACTTAATCAGGGTTGTGAAAAAAGTCAAACCAGTAGTTCATAAAGCAAGGTGATGTATGCATCTACAAAATAATTCCGGCAATGGAGGGGCAAACAAGAAATGAACTTTTTGTTTTGATTGTTTGTGTCTATCAATTTTTTTTAACACTTCCCTATTCTAAATTATCAAATCATTTTGTATTGGATATCCTAATTAGCATTAAAATAAAAATTAAAAAAAAAATAGAAAAAGAAAATTATTTCCAAAAAGATCAATAAATTTCAAAGAAACTTTTTTTTATTAAATTTTTTATTTTCTAAAATTTAAATTTCATTTTTTTTAAGATTGAAGCATAAAAAAAAAAAAAAGAAATTTCAAAAGTTTTGAAAATTTTAAAAAATGTAACATTTTTCCTTCAATGAAAAAAAGCTTTCAATAGAATGTGCATGTGGCAAAAACTATTGTAGAAATGAAATTAGCATGCCAAGTTCAATTTCTGACAGTTCTTCACCATGTCACACTAATGTGTGTTTGAAAAGGCATAAATCCATCTATCCCTAACTATAGCTTAAACCACAAGACAGATTGGGATCTTTTTTAAGTAGTAAAATACAGAGAATGGTTCCAATAACAAACATTCATTGTCTTGTTTACATATTCAGAAGAAACTCTACAAAACCTGGATCTGACCCTTCTGTAGTCCAGTTATGGCATATTGTTGTAACTTTCTGCAGCTGTGCAGGTACTAAATTTTGTTTGGACTCTACCAAACAATAATGCAATAGGGGTTCATTCTTGTTGTAATGGGCAATCCAAGATCTACAGAAAAACTGAAAAAAAAACCATATCACTTTGCACTATACCATCATTTCCAAAGATGGATGGATGTCAACATAAAACAGTATTATTCTGGAACTATAATTCCCCCTCAATGCATCATAAAGATTACTATATTGAAGACTATCCTATCTAAGGTTTCACTTTTTGACTGGATTTTCAAAACCTGAATTTCTGAAACATTTTAATGTGCCAGTCCGGTTTTTCTGTGACTTGCAGAAAAGAAGTTACATCTAAATTACCTAAGGTTTCATTGTTACTTTCATTAAGTTTAATTTAAACAAAAAATATCTTTTCATCAAGAAATGTTCTCAAAAGTTTTCTCACTATAACTGTGTTCTAGTAAAGAAAAAACTGTCAACTTATAAAATAACAACTGCAATAGATTTTTTTTTTTTTTTTTTTTTTTTTTTGCAGTTCAAACAATAGTCCGTCGTAACAGTCCAACAAGCAAAGTAGAAAAACAAAATGGGGTCACACTTGCAACCTTCTTTCTCGCGAGACAAAAATGCATGTTCCGTCCCCCACTGAGAAAATCTTCTGCCTTTATAAGCAAAAAAAAACATATTTGGTTCATCAAGGATTTTTCTGATTGGTCATGCCATTCAGGAGGGGAGAACATTAGCATAGATTCTAGTCATGGAAGTAGATTTTGCTAACTACTTTTTGTAATTTTTATTCAGCAGATCTTCTACTAGGAACAAAACTTTTTCCGGAGTAAATAATTATCTCTTTCACTAAAACAGTTTTTTTTTTTTTTTTTATGCAATGAGAAAGCCTTAGTTCAACCTTATCTTTAAAACAATAGAAACATTTGATTAGAAATAAGCTTAGTTTTATAAAACACATATACTATATTCTCTAATATTAATTTCATTTTTCAAATGTACAATTTTATTTATTTTTTTGTTTCAAAATCTGAATCATCTTTGGAGACTAGATTTTTTTTTTTTTTTCCATGAAACATTGATATGATATCAATGTTTCAAGACTATGATCTTCTGGCAGATTCCATGAAAAAATTCCAGTCATGATGAGTTGATAGACTGTTCATCAATAGTTCTCAAAGTTTTTTTTTTTATGATAAAATTCCTCACTAGCATTTCAGGAGGGTGGTATATTTAATAGGACAAAAAGCAAGACATGTCAAAATCAGATGATCTTCTTATAACTGTCAATATATTTTTGTTTAAATTTATTGAACAAAAAAAAATTACAGTACTGAGATAATTTGTAAATATTGTAAGCATCAAAACAATATTTGTTATTTTTTTTGTTTAAAAATATTTAAAATTTGCCATCCATATTTAATATAATGTTGAACCCTATCAGCAACACTTCTAAAACTATTTGACACATTTCTACATTAAGTTCAAAAAATTTATCAAAAATTATTTGTTTTTTATTCAAATTGTTTTTAGTTTGAGCCTGTAAACAAGCTCTTTCAGCACATCCCACAATAAAAAGTTTGGTGGTGTAAGGTCTGGTAATTATGATGGCCAACACAAATTGCTCCTTGTCATCCTCAAAAAAAAAAAAAACAGACAGTACTTTTCAACACCAAAGGCTAGGATAAAGTTTCAAGCCTTAATGGCAATCACCACTAGACATTTCTCAATAAAATACTTGATGTACTTGAACTGCTGTAAGTCTCCGAGTTCAAGCATCAAAAGACCATCTGGTTTTGTAAAACCTTGTCTCAAATTATTATGATAAATCCTTTTTTCAGGTAGGACCCAAAAAGCCTTTATGCAAGTTTAATTACATCAGCAACAACAAAAAAAAGAAATGGTATGTATTTTCTTATCTTAAACCAATACTTGATAATAAATGTACATGCTGCTCAAAAATTAAAGCTCATTCAACTTAAAAACCTGATGAAGTTTATCAAAGGTTGCTTTTCCTTCAAACAAATTTAGATATATTCCCCCTCATTTTTGATCAAATTTGTCAATTATTGTAAAAAATTGCATTTTCACCCTCCTATAAAATATTTGGATTGGAAAAACTATTGAATGACTATTTGACTGGCATTAAGGACATAGCTATTTTAATTTTTTTTTTTTTTAAGAAAAAAAAAAAATGAAGTTATATAAAATAGAAACATAACTTTAAATATTGCTCCAATTATGGTATATAAAATTCTATATTTAGAGATCCTCATAAAAATCCCAAAAAAAAATCAGTGATATCATTTTTCTGATCTTGGTATCATTAATTTTCCTACCATCTGTGACACTATTTAGCTATGGTAATTGACTAACTAATTAACCATAGAAATTAAAAACAGGAAAGACTTAAAAAAGAAAGAGCTATATCAAAAGATAGACTGATCAACGTTAAAAAAAAGATTTTATTTTATTTATGGAAGAAAAGATACTTTTTCACAAGAAAGACAAATCCATAAGAAAAAAAGCGATTTGAGATTCTGTCAAAACTGATTAATGTCATGGTATAAGAATGTCGAAACAGAATTCATTTAGAAAAACAAAGCCAACCGACACATGGCAGTCATAAAAAAATTTCAGCTTGAGACCACCGTGGTACAGGCAGAGAGAATTAGTATTAATTATCTTTCAGAATATCATTTAATTTTTGATTCTTGGATCCAACAAAGAAACCATCTGGTGTGTGTGTGTTAGAATTTTGGCATGAGGAAGAAAATCATATTAAGTATTGTTAATTTATCAAACTGTTGACGTCAAACACATCATCAAAAATGGGCATCTGGTGATAAGAGGATTTTAAGGCATGAGAAAAATAAAGAATTTGATTATCAGGTAAAATACGGACATCCCAGTTAAAAGTTGACTTAGCAGAAAAAAAAAAAAAAAAAAAGGTGTCTGGTTTTGACAGTGATTGATGAGTCGGTAGAGAGACCCGACAAAGTGAATTTTGGGTGTCCCCAAAAGAAAGATGTGATAAGAATTATTTTGGCAATCTGGGGTTTGTGAAAAAAATGTTTTGATGAAGGAAAAAAAATGAAAAAAAAATTTTGTAAAATAACCACACCCACACTGCCAAGAGATCATTGGTCAAGTGGCAGCATGGGTGATAGGCAGAGGTGAATGTATGAGAAAGACATGGAAGTTGTTAACACCACTGAGGGGATTGGTATGAGATACCAATGTGTGAGAGGAAAAGTCTAGGAGGATAACTCTCTTCCGACCTTCCCTCACAGAACGAGGGAGAAACCCCAAATGGAAAGTGATTAATCTTCCAAAAAATGGGAAGTAATTAATTTTCCTGGCCTGAGAACAAAGAGAATTCTTGTTGAGAATCAAAATTATCTAGGAACCCAAACTACGCCAGGGAACCCACACCGAGTTTTGGTTGGTATCCATATAAACAAATGTCTCGAGGCAGAGTCAGTTAGAGAGCAGAGTTTTTTTACAGTTGAAGTCAGTTGCAGTTGGAGACCGTTGCCTGCACAGAAGCTGACTGAGAAATTTTTGTCTTCCAACTTCAAAGTCCTACCAAAAGCAAGTTATATTGACAAACGACTTAAGATACCAGAACTGTTGGAAGAAAGCTGCAAAAAGTGTCACAAATTCATAGAAACAGGCTGGAAGAGAAACACACTCCTGTATTCAACAGATAGATAAAGATAATTTGTTAGTTCTCAACATATTTGAACCTCCAACAGTTTGTTGTGTATATTTTTATTTAGTTTGTCCCTTCTAAGGAACTGGGTGACTTTATCAATTAAAAAGGAAAGGAAGCTATAAATGAGCCTTCCTGATTCTTTCAATGAAAGGGAGTGGGGGGGAAAATACTATTAACTAGGGAAAAAAAACCTGTTTAATGTGAAAATCACTAGGAAATTTACTTTTTACTTACTTTTTTTTTTTTTTTTTTTTCAGATTACACTGGTGGTAAAGTGATGGAATACATTTACACACAACCAAAATTACCTCAGCCTGTACAGAATTCCTACCATCCAGTGTTATCAGAGATGCATCTTCATCAGGGTAAAGAACAAATGATGCAGAATAATTCACAGGTGTTAAATCTTTTATTAAATATCTTTATTTACTGAACGGAAATTTCACAAATTACGTTCTACTGAAAATTTTTGTAAACCTTTTAATAGGTTTTCTTAACAGCACGCTTGTAAAAGTTCTTCAATGGCTATATTGTCGAGCACGGAATTTAGTTTTGAGCTAAATAAAAAGCAATTGATTTCTGAACCTTTTATGTTTTAGGTTATGGGATTAGTATTTTCTTTGTAATCTCAATATTGATAACTTGTATGAACATTTGAAAAGTAGCCTGGAATTGGATTATGTAGGTGTGTAGTGTTTTGTTAATAACAAAATATGTAAAAGCAAATTAAACTTGGGTTTGTTGAGAAAAAAGCTTTCAAGAGAAATTTTTAAATGTGCTTTTAATTTCTTTTATTTTCAGCATGATAGCTTTCATATGAAAGATCTGCAAGATGGCTTAAGGGCTTTATTGCCAAATATAAACATCAGCTTTGGTGCTCCTCTTCACCCACAACAACAACAACAACAACAACAACAGCAACAACCTTCCTCCAGTTCAGCCTGTACGGGGCAACAACAAACACAAAATAATCCCACACCAAAAAGTAAGTGTTTTGTTTGTTTGTAGATTAGTGGTTCCCATCCCCCTCCAAAGGAAACTAACTGTAGGCTTTGTTTGTGAGCATGGGTATTTATCACTTAAATGTTTAGGTTGAAATATTTTATTTAGTGTGGGGGTGCTAACTGCTACACTCTCAACATTTTATGAAAATGACCAATGATAGTTGAAAGTACTTGGAATATGTATAGAGTTGGATCCATATGTACGTATTGGAATTCAAATAAGTTCTCAACTCTCCCATCAAATGAGTTTTTTAAATCCAAATTTTTAAGTAATTTGGTGGCATGACCTCTTCTGTATGTAACAATGCATGAACTTTTCTCAAGAACTTACATTGAAGTTCTCTCTCACTCTCTCTGCTATCCAGGTAACTTTTCTCATATGCCAGATAATCCCCACTGGATGAAGTCCATCCAACAACTTACAGAATTTGATTCCCAAGGTCACAATCACAGACTTCCTTTTGTACAGCAGTTTCCGGTTCGAGGTTTGTCAGACGCACTTTCAGGTTTCTTGTCATCTTTATTTTTTATTTGTGCGTGTCTGTCTCCTCCCTGCCTCTCTGTCTCCTCCTGCCTCTCCGTGTCTCCCCTCCCTGCCTCTCCGTGTCTGTCTCCCTCCCTGCCTCTCCGCCTCTCCGTGTCTGTCTCCCTCCCTGCCTCTCCGTGTCTGTCTCCCTCCCTGCCTCTCCGTGTCTGTCTCCCTCCCTGCCTCTCCGTGTCTGTCTCCCTCCCTGCCTCTCCGTGTCTGTCTCCCTCCCCTGCCTCTCCGTGTCTGTCTCCCCTCCCTGCCTCTCCGTGTCTGTCTCCCTCCCTGCCTCTCCTGTCTGTCCCCTCCCCTGCCTCTCCCCCTGCCTCTCCCCCTGCCTCTCCCTCCCTGCCTCTCCCTCCCTGCCTCTCCGTGTCTGTCTCCCTCCCCTGCCTCTCCCTGTCCTCCCTCCCTGCCTCTCCCCTCCCCTGCCTCTCCCTCCCTGCCTCTCCCCTGTCTCCCTCCCTGCCTCCCCTCCCTGCCTCTCCCGTGTCTGTCTCCCCTCCCTGCCTCTCCCCCTGCCTCGTCTGTCTCCTCCCTGCCTCTCCCTCCCCTGCCTCTCCGTGTCTGTCCTCCCTGCCTCCCTCCCCTGCCTCTCCGTGTCTGTCTCCCTCCCTGCCTCTCCCTCCCTGCCTCTCCGTGTCTGTCTCCCTCCCTGCCTCTCCCTCCCTGCCTCTCCGTGTCTGTCTCCCTCCCTGCCTCTCCGTGTAAATTTACTTTAGTAATTTTATATATATATATGAACAGTATTTAATTCCTTAATTTAATTTTTGTATTATATTAAATCTGATATTTCATTAAGTGATTTAAGTGTTTAGTGATTTTTTTTTTTAAAAAAAAATAGTTCACTGAAAAATTTAAATCAGAAACATAGGACATATGGAAAATGCTTGCATCAAACATTAAATTTCAGAAATTTTGTTGCAGTTAATTTGAATATTTGCCTTTGGTTATCTAGGTGCTGGCTGGGTACAACAGGCTCACAACCCACCACCGGGCTTTCATACACAGATCCGACCCCCTACTCAAACAACAGAACCACATAAAGTAACTGAGGGTAAGTTTTCTTGTCTTGGAATTGATCAAAACAAGCTTTTTATATAATATGTATATATGTATGTTTTCCCAGCCAAAATTACTTATCTGGAAAATGGCTATATAAGAGTGCTCAATACACAATATAAAAAGAAAAACTGAATGTACAGAGCTATTAAATATCAAAGACAAGTAATACTAACCACTTATGCTACCATGGTTTCCACCAGTAATATTTCTTTGGCCAGTAAAGGTTAGTGTTTCCCAAACACATTTTTATTATTCATTTGAAACCATGGTAGCTTAACGGATTAGTATTCCTTTGACATCATCTTCCATAATTCGACCAATAAAATTTCTTAATATATTGTCAGAAACATGATTCCATTTGGTAAATATAAAACTTACAAGGTTATCAATGGAACACTGTGTGTGTTTGTTTGTTTGTTTGTTTGTTATATAAAATTTTTACTGGATACCAATATTTCTGTAGACATTCTACTTTATTTTAAGCATTATTTATTTCATGTACACTTAAAGATTTTTTTTTCCATTAAGTCTTCTCGTATGTATGCCAGTAGTTGTATTAGGTTGGTGCAAAAATAATGTCGTTTTTTGACGTTCAACTTCAAAAGATCATAACTCCTTGCGAAATTTCTTGAACCACCGTTGTGCCACATGTTCGTTAGTGGTTCCTGGGCCAAACGCATCATTGATATCATGAGCTGTCTCGGCAACTTTTCGGCCTAGTTTGAACTGGAACAAGAAAATCGTGCGGATTTGAATTTTGTCCATGAAAAATGAATGAAAAGATTGAGAACGGTAACGAATAACACGATTCGATAGAGCGAAAAATGCGCTTCAGAATGATATATAACATGGCTATATATCGATGAAATAATTCAGAAATCGTATATAAAAGTAGCATATGTGAGAAAACGACATTATTTTTGCACCAACCTAATAATAAATACTTAGAATAAAATTTTTCTACTCAAGTACAGGCATCCACTAAAAATGTTTAAAATAAGAATTGGATTTAAAAAAAAAAAAAATCCCTAAATTCTTTAGAAATACTCCTATACTACTTTTTGTTCAAGTAATCAACGGGTCAACCAAATGAATCTCTTGTCTTTCGTCTCTCATTAAGAGTTGTAGAAAATATAGAGAAAAACCTTTCACCCAACTGAAAACAATTTTTTAGTAGAGTATAAGTTCCCTTGGTCAGGAATGAATGCAGCCATTTTTAAAGTAGTTCTTTAAACTTTTTACTAAACAAGTTTTAAAGGCAAAATATCTTAATGTCCTTCATATCTTCCAACAACAGTCCAGACTGTACCAGGAATACTGCACTCAATATCCTTTACACCTGTTTAGTCATTATAAAAATGATTCCATCTACAAAGTTCTGGGATTAATCTTTCACTTGTGATTAAGTTTAAAAGAAATTTTTTTTTTTTTTTTTTTTTTTTTTTTGATTTTGATTTACTTTCACTTGATGTCAACAATTTCTTGATAATTCAGTTACATTCCAAAATGACTTTTAATCCTTACATTTTAATTCTTTTTTTTTTCTTTCTTTCTTCTAGGTTTACAATGAGAGAATTTGTTCCAGGACAAATTCATATTCCATACCCAGTGTGCTTTCTGCCTGTTTTATTTGTTAAAATGCAATTAATGATTTCTTCCTCTCAGAGATGCCTGTCTGATATTTCAGTTACCAACTACCTAATGTTATTTAAAGGAATTTGACTAATTGTGATGTTTAATCAAATAGGATTGGAATATTAAGAATAATAAACTGCTCTTTGACTTTTCTCATCCCACCCCCATCCCCAAACAAATAATGTAACCCTGCTTCTCTTTAACCCACTAAATTGACTTTTTTTTTTTTTTTTTTTTTTTTTTCCAAAAAATAAATTTCATTTTGACTTTTTTCCTTTTTCTTTCCTTTTTTCCTTTTTTTTTTTTTTTTTTTTTAATATATCTTTCTTTTAAGGAAGGATGATTAAATTTTACTTTAACATCAAACTTTTTCCTATTGCCAAATCTTTTGGTTATTTTTTTATTTCTCCATAAGTCCTTATTTTCTTTATTTACAAATTTTCACTGTTGAGCTAAGTATTTTTTCTTTCCCCTGTCATAACAGTCCAGGGCTTCTGGCATCTCTGTGATGGATGAAATTTACCTAGCCAAAGTGGCAGGCCACACAGTCATATAGCCCAACTACCGTCAAGCAGACGGCATCATTCTTCTTGGCTAGTTCTTATAACCTGATTATGGTATTACTTTGAGCAGCAAATTTCTTTGTAGCTGATTTTTTTTCTTAGGGGAAAGACGAAATATATAATTTTTTTTTTTTTATATATATATATATATAACTTAGTTTTCATCATCTATTAACTCAAAGTTGAAAATATAAATCCTATTTAATTTTTTTTTTTTTTTTCTGAAAGGGTGTTTAGTGCTATGCTAATATCATAATGCAGAGGCTCTTAAGCATTATATCTATTCTCTACTTATTCTAAGTTTGTTTTTCATATATATATATATATATATATATATATATATATAGATATCTCACACTTGCCAGTTTTCTTATGACTGTTTATTTTTGGAATTTCTTTATGTATTTATTTGAAAAATAAAGATGTTTTGATGGGTGTGGCTTCATCCTTCTCTCTCCTGGAAATGAATTGTCAGGGTCAAAATGTTATAACAGTAATAATTTTGTTTAAAACAATAAAAATGATTTTTTTTTTTTTTTTTTTTTTTCTTTTAATAAAAATTTAACCCTCTTCCCCTCTTGAATAAGTGCCATTACAAAAATGGTTTGAAATTCCCTCCCCTACTCCCACACCCTCAACTAGATTCCCGCCTTCAGCTACTTTCTGATCTGGCTTTTTCTCTACATGACTGTGTGGTCGAGCTTAAATGATGATAATGCTTTTGAACTGGCAATTCCAAATTCTCTGCAAGTTCAACTTAATTAAAAATGAAATATAATTTCTAAAATTGATTTTTATAAAAATCAAAAAGCAATGCGGAAAAGTCTTGGTGATTTCTGAAAAATAGTAATAAAAGCAAAATTCTTTGGCCAAAAGGGTGGGGAATCCCCCCAAAACACTACATAATTATTATCATTATTATTATTAATAATGGAGAGGCTTTTTATTGGGCTAAATAGTGAGGAGGAGGAGGATCAGCTGTCCCCACTGCCTTGCTGTCAGGAGTCTCTTTGTTTCTGGGCTGTAACCCCAGGTGTTATGTGAACGAATGTAAAAAGTGATGGTTGAATGGATGTTAGCAGCTGTTGCCTTAGCAACAATTGGGGGTGAAGAAAAATAAAAGAAAACTGCTGTGTGCTGGATGTTGTTTGAAGCAGCAGTAGCAGACTTTGGTTTTCAGGACCTCTTGTGATTGACCAAAAAAAAAAAAAAAAAATTCCTTAATTCAAACTCCATTTGTTGGTGGTATGGCTGAAGTGATCAAGCATAAATAAAGGCCATAATCAGTTGAACTCTGCATTTTGTTTTCTTCTCTTTCTTCTTGCTCTTAATTATTTACAACTACAGCCATTTTTTTTTTTTTTTTTTTTTTCTTCATAAATGAAATTCATACTTGACAAAATGGTTACTTTATTGTAAATGACAATAGGATATTTTTGTATAATTCTAGTGACATAGAATTGTTTCCCAGAATAATTACCAAATAGTGGAAATGATTAGTAATCTTCATTATTAGGGCCCTAATTTTATATTAGACCAATATTTCTCTACTTGGGCAAATATTAAATGTTGTTGAAAGCTTAAAAATACAAAGTGACTTGATATTCTTGTTTCTGGAATATTCCTTTAATACTTTTTGACATGCAAGTTGACTAATATTTATTTTCTTGATACTAATTTAACTTGGACTCAACCTTGTCTGTCTATATTTCTGAGATGAGGTATTATGTACATTATTTGGACTATTGTCCTCATCTTTGTCGCCATATTTATCACAACATTTCGGCCATTGTACGCTCCGGCCTTCTTCAGGTGGTTGGAATTTCAAACTTAACCATTTGTTTTGCTCACTGGGGTAGACTGTTCTAGTTCCATGTGCCATGTTTAATGGATGTCAGTTATCAGTTATCTCCTGTTAATTTCCCTCTGAAAGTTCTCCACTGCCTTAACCGGGTATTGAACTCACACTCTTTTGGCCCTGTCACTGGATCTAACCAATGCCTTTATCCACTGTGCCATGTGTCCTCAAGGCAGTGGAGAACTTTCAGAGGGAAATTAGCAGGAGATAATTGATAACTGACATCCATCAAACATGGCACGTGGAACTAGAACAGTCGACCCTTTATTTCGCTCACTGGGGTAAAGTTCAAAATTCCAACCACCTGAAAAAAAAAACGGAGCGCAACAAATGGCTGTTTGTGATAAATATGGTGACAAAGATGAGGACATTAGTTCGACTAATGGAAATAATCAACCTTGTGTGTTTGCTTAATTAACTCCAGAAAAGTTAAAATATTGAGCAATTTCTTTTTACAAGAATGTGTTCTGCAGAGGTTGACATTGCTAAATATTCAAGAACATTGTGGGTGGGATATTCAGAAGATCCTCATATGTTTACTGTAATGTTAAGCCCTCTTAACAGAAAACAAATTTTATTTAAAATCCTTTTTTTTTTTTTTTTTTTTTTTTTTTTTTTTTTTTCATTTGTTTCAAATACAGCTAACCAACACAAGTGTTTTTTTTTTTTTTTTTTTTTTTTTTAATAGTATAATCCACATGGTAGTGAATGACTTTTTGGCTCAGACAGTTAGATAAAAACTACTAATATATATTATATATATATATATATATATATATATATATTCCTTGGAGGTGAGTAGATATAATCTTTTTTGATGAATTTAACTAAAGTGAAATGCAAACTTTTCTAGTTCTAATAAGATATTAACACAATGTGCCTTACTTTGTTCAACTCTTTTCTGCAATTAGCTGACTGTAGCACGTTTGCAATTTGTGTGGAAATAAGTTTTACATAAACCTCTTAGTTATGATTTCTTTCACTTCTTGATATGTACAAAAAAAAAATCTTAAGGAGAATGAATTACAAAAATCAAAAACTATTGATGTCTAAGACAGCTATCAATATTTCAATTTCAACAAGGAAAAATGTTTGCCATGACTACAATTTTTACTGGTACATCTACAAACCTAAACTGTATAGTGAAATTGGCTCTTTTGGAACTGGAAACTTTGCTGATTAAAGAAGCTGACTGATTACTCTGCTACACACCACCTCTTATAATGTTGCAACTGGGACTCAACAAATGGTCATGTAGTTGGGAAGGGATGTTCTTTCACACAGCCTAGTCTCCAGGCCATCACTTGTTTCACTAAAGACAAATTGTCTGGTTAATAGTACTGAAACATTCAAGTGATCAAAGAATACAAATCAATAGTAGAATCTTTCTAGGCTGACTTAGTGGTAGGGATGCTTTTCTATGAAGAGGAGAGAAAAACAAAAAAACTAATGAACAAGCAGTTGAAAATAAATGATGGCTACTCTTGTCTAATATTTAAGCTGTTACTTTACTTAATTCAGATGGAGGTGGGGATCAATATTTAATCATAAAACTATTTTCTGCAACAGAAATCACTTGAAAAGTATAGTTCATGTTCCACTTGTTCCTGTTCAGGAGAAATGGGTGGCACAAACTTTGGGCAACTGAAGGGCATTCAACTTCTAAATCTTGACAAATATATCTCTTATAATTTGTGCTTTCAAAGAAAAACAATCATCTTTGGAATAATTGGAAAATATGAATCTAAAAATATTGTGTAAAAAAAAAATCTAAGGCTTTCAGCCTTTTTCTATACATGGTTTTGTTCTTACTCCATTATTTTTGGTAGTTGCTTAAAACTGTTCAGAGTTAAAAAAAAAAAAAAAAAAAAAAAAAATTGACATGAATAGCAATTGTATTATAGAAATTTTAAAAATGCCTTTATTAAGCAAACAAACTTTTATTTTGGCAAACAATTTGACGAACAGCTAAATCCTTTCAAAATATGCATTTTATTCATGTGATAAAAAAAAAAAAATTACTGAAATTGTGGCTGCTACTTTTTTTTTTATTTTATAACCTCCAATATGTCTGTTAGCTTTGTGTGCCACTATAAAGAGGTAAAGCCATATTCAAGAAAGTAAGATTTGTGGAAACCGTAACATACACCTTTGGTTTCTCCCAGAGTAGATACTTCATCAAACCATTAGTTTCCCATCTTTCATCTGCTTTGTCACTAATTAAATGAGACTGCTGTAAAGCAATGTCTATACCGGCATTAACTTCAAAAGGAAACGTCACCTAAAATGCTATATTTATCTCCACTAGTTTGCTGAACAGTGCTTACGTTTTTTTTCTCTATGCTTTTTTTTTTTTTTTTTTTAAAACATTCAATCAACATGCACAGCAATGTTGTCATCGTCATCAAGCAGTTGGTTGCAAATTTAGGCCAGACAAAAACTTCTGAATGTGTAAAGTCCCATATTCCAAACAGCTTGATGGTTCCAAGAAATGCAGTAATAACTACTTTTGCA